TGAGCGCCAGAGATGGGAGAAGAGACACATCTGTCATGTCTTCCAAACTGAGCCGAGGACATCTGCAGCTACTGCCACCATCTCACTTTAGTACAAGGGGAAAAACAGATGTAAAAATAGAGGCGATATATCCAACTATTAACACTGAGGCAAAACTGGATATAGCAGTCTGCAGAGGCACAGCGTAGAGCAGGCGATGGCTCCCGCTAGGGCAGGCTGTCTCCAGTGGACAACGTGCCAACTAACTAAAGAGGTTTCCACCATCCATGCCAGTATGATTGGCAAATAAAAACTGGCTATATTTAGGTTGCACAGCAGGATTGTTTTGTGAAGGTGTAACATCATAAGTGATGAGGAGGAGAAAAGAGAGAAGGTTACAAACTGCCTGAGAGCAAGTGACACCCTCCTGACAGGAAAGGGAAGGAGCCCATCTGTTGAGAAGAAAATGCCTCCCTGGGAGTTCCTCACTCACCAGGTGAATCAGCTCCTCTTTACCAGACTTATGAAGAAGCTGAACAGTTGTGTGCAGGACAGGCAAGAATTTTAATAATGAGTGCTGGATGAGAGGAGAAAGACAGCATGAAAAAGCTGAGGGAGACTACACCCAGAAAATAACTACCCTTGTTTCCTGTGTCACCTCGCTTCCACTGGGGGGATGTTAAGCGCCCAGTCAGTAGATTCAGTACAGCAATTAAGTAGAAGATTCTTTATCTAGAGAGTATCCACTCATTAGTGAAATGCCTTTTTGTTCTTTTTGTTTGTCCTTTGTCTTCTCAATTGAGATATCATACACATACCCTAAAATTCACCCTTAAAAAAGTGCACAATTCAGTGGTTCTGAGTATGTCTACAAGGTTGTACAACCATCACAACTACCTAATTCTAGGACATTTTCATCAGCCCAAAGAGGAACCCTGTGTACATCAGCAGTCACTCCTCATTCTACCCTCTCTCCAGCCTCTGCTGTCAATTTACTTTCTGTTTCGATAGATTTACCTACTCTGGATATTTCATATAAATGGAAGCATACAGTATGTGGCCTTTTATATCCGACTTCTTTCACCTAGTGTAATGTTTTGGATGTTCATCCATGCCGTATCATGTATCAGTATTCCTTTTTATGGCTGAATAATGTTCTATCATATGTATATACCACAATTTGTTTCTCCATTTATCTGTTGATGAAAATTTGGTTTGTTTTCAATTTGGGGCTATTATGAATAATGCTGTGTGAACATTTGTGTATAAGGTTTTGTGTAACATATGTTTTTTTAATTTCTCTTGGCTATATACCTGGAAGTAGAAGTGCTGAGTCTGTTGTAACTCTAAATTTAACTTTTTGAAGCACTTCCAGAGCATTTTCCAAAGTGGCTGTACCATCTTACATTCCTATCAGCAGTGTTTGAGGGTTCTGATTTCTCCACATCCTAGTCAACAGTATCTGTTTTTGATTATAGCCATTCTAGTGGGTGTGAACTGGTATCTCATTGCGTTTTGCCTTAAAAAAAAAAAATCGAAGCCATCTGTATTCATAGTTTAAAAAGACAAAGCTTAAAGTGTAAATGGCCCATCCCTCTCCACTCCTATTTCTATGAGGCAAATACTTTAAATTCTTTTACTGGTTTCTTCTGATTTTATCTTCTATTTCTGGTAGTATGCTTATACTGTTGTCTTTTAAAAAAATCTGTTTTAGGTATTATCTCTTGAATTCCAACAATGGAAGATGAGCATTTAATTCTCTTATCTTCCCCTATGTGCACACAAATACACACTCACTTTATCTTTCCATTTTCACAGTATGATTATAATCTCTATTTTTGGTTAAATCAATAATTGGCACTTACATTGTTATGACTATGCATTCATAGCCATGTGGTGTACAAAATTTATATTTGCTTAACCATACCTTTTCCCCTTAGATTCCAGATGACCTAGAGGAAAAAATTTGCTTTTTTTAAAAATTTCCTCAGTTTTCTACATATTAATTACTACTTCCTCCTCAGATTCTACAAGAGCTAAAAATCTTTGTGCATATTCAAACACACTGGATATCTGGATATTCCACTATTGCTTTCTTTTTCCTTTTTTCTTTTTTGTTTCCGGGAGACTTTCCTTCCAGAGCCCGCCATGCTCCTGCTCTACTCTGAACTGACGGGGCACGGGCTTCCTGCATAGCTATTGTCCTGGAACTTTCCTTCATCGTCACTGACTTCTCTCTTAAGTTGCATCACCTGTTTCCTGGATCTCATATCTTCCTGTCTTAGTTTTATCCCAGTTTACAATAGCATATCTTCCAGTAGCTTCTTTATTCCTCTATTCCTCCATTACCGTCTTGTTTTTGTTAAATATTTTCTAGTGTACCATTTTAATCGTCTTGTTTCTTTTAGGTGTTTTTTTTTTTTTGGTTCTTTTCTTAGTGATTGCACTGGTGATTCCAATTAACACCTTAATCTAGTTTAGATTAATACTAACTTAATTTCAATAGCATACAAAATTGTTTGTGGATGCTTTCATGCTACCACGGTAGAGCTGAGTATTTGTAGCAGAGCATGTATGCATATGGCCTGTAAAGCCTAAAACTTTACCATCTGGCCCTTTACAGAAAAAACCTGCTGATCCCGATCCAGCGTCCTGATCTTCCCGATCCCATTTTCTCTCTCCTGCCTCCAAGCATTAAGCAATCTGTTCTCTCTGAACTCTCACTGTGTTTCACCTTTCCTGAAACCTAGAAATTAACTGCAAGTGCTAAGGAACCAAATGAAAGAGCACAAAACTGTATCAGCAAAGTGTGAAAACCTCCTTGGTGCACATCGCTGTACATAAGATGCTCAAAGTTATAATCCATCATGATCTGTGAAATCCAATCCTTCAACATGAAATTACTGAGGATTATTACTACTGATTCAAATTTGAACAGTTCCAAGGCCAGTTTCTCCATCATTTAATCCTATGCCCAAGCAGTGCGTTTCTACATGAGTGTTCTGTGGTGGGCATGGGTGGTTTTACTCTGATCAGTATCCATTTCCCATCCTCTTATGAGAGTTCTTTGATTTTTATTTGACACTGGGGATGGGGGCATGATGTGAGGCACAGTGTGAGTAGGGTGCTGCCAGGGACCACCACCTGGAGGGCACCTGTCTGAGCTCAAAGCCCACCAAAAGGCAAGCAGAGCTGACAGAGAGAGCGTGAGCAAGTGAGTCTTCATGACACGGTTTAGCTTCTGCATTCCGCCGTACCTTCGAACCTTCCACTTATGTGCACCAAATAAATCCCTTGTTCTGTGTAAGCCGTTTGAGTTGTGTTCCTGGTGCTTATGAGCAAAAGGAGTCGTGACTGACACAGACTTTGAAAGCAGAGGCTGAGCCACTTCTGGGCAGTCACAGAGGTCCAATAGCTTCATGAGGACCCTTCGTTTTATTTTTAGCAAAAGAAGAACAAACTCTTCTGCTTTAGTTCAGGACCTGGAATAGTTTTAGTCTAATGCAGGATTGACTTCAGAACTAATAAGGAATCTCTCAAATTCAGGTTACTGTCCTTGACAAAACAGAAAAACTAATGGTTTCAGAAATAAATAAATATGATGAGAATAACATCGCCAAGTATAATTTATCAAATTCCTGATAAAACACATTTTAAAAGGCAATCAGGGGCTTCCCTGGTGGTGCAGTGGTTAAGAATCTGCCTGCCAATGCAGGAACACATGTTCGAGCCCTGGGCCGGGAAGATCCCATATGCCATGGAGCAACTAAACCTGTGTGCCACAACTACTGAAGCCCATGCGCCTAGAGCGCGTGCTTCACAACAGGAGAAGCCACCGCAGCAAGAAGCCCACGCACTGCAACGAAGAGTAGCCCCCCGCTCGCCTCAACTAGGGTAAGCCTGCATGCAGCAATGGAGACCCAACGCAGCCAAAATAAATAAGTAAGTAACTTAAAAAAAAAAAGACACACACACACACACACACACAAAGGCAATCAGGATGTAATTTCATGTAATAAAGCATTCCTTGCACTTATCTATTTCAATGCATATTCTTAACTAAAACTTCATCAGATGCCCTTAGGCTTCTTTTTTTGATAAATGACCCACATTTTAAAGTCTTTTCTAAGCAAAGAAATAAACATATTTTATAAATAATAATATGTCAGTTTCTTATAGGTAAAAACCCTAAAATTTTTATTCTTCCTCAACTCTAATTTCTTGTCCTTGATGTTTACTTACTTTTCTAGTCTAGGCCATAAGCAAATAATTTTTACTTCCCCAGCTTTAGAGGAACCCTGAGCCTTTTTCTAACTTGTTTCCTTTTCATCCCTGCTCTGTAGCCGTGACTTGTCCACTTAACCTGCTTGTCCTTAACATAGCACCTCACACAAGTGTCTTAGTTTTGAACCTCCAGCTCTGCTACTTCCTTACATTAGGATCTAGAGCAAGTTTCTAAATCTGTAAAATGAGGATAATAATAGTACCTGCCTCATATGGTTGTTGTAAAGATTAAATGAGAGGTATGTGAAAGAGACACAGTAAGCACGTAGTAATGCTATTATTACTACAATATAATAACCAGTGGTCCTTGTGATTTCATTCCACACAAGAGGCTTGTAAGACCCAGCGATGTGTTTATTGTTTAAAATCTAGGCCCCATGAGGGCAGAGACTTTGTCTTGTTCATCACTATATATATGCACCTAATATATGACTGGCATATAATAGGTATTTAATAAATATTTAATGAATGAATGAATATAGGTAATATGGTTATAATTTTACTGATATTCTAATTTTATGGATGAGAAAACTGACTCAGAGAGGTTAAGTGACTTGTATAAAGTCCTACAGTGGGTTAGAAAAGGTTAAGATACAGTTCTCCTGCCTGATTGTCCGCTTCCCCCATATTACCTCTAAGGGCCTCTACCGCATGATCCAAAAATTCAGGTACAGTATCTTAGTTACTAAATGACGATTTTCAAGGGACAAAAAGGATTCTGAAATTGAAAAACCTACCGTAGTATCCACAGCCTTGACGTTCTCTGTGGGAATGTGCTTTGGGACAGGTTCTTTCTGTGACATCATCACACATCCTTCAGCACCTAAGGTGATGATTACAACCTGGCAGCCCCTTTCCATGAGCACCAACGCAGCCTTCCCAGCATCCGAGGGGCTACTGACCTCAAGGCTGGTCAGAATCTCAGCCTGAAATACATACAAAAAGAAAAGAAACTGTGGTGAGAATAAGTAACTGGGTCTGCTTCTAGATTAGATCTGTTTTTCTAGGTGATGTCTCCCTTCTTTTTCATAACAACCAATGCAGTGGGGAACTTTGGTAGATACTGGCTCAGGAAAATAAATAAAATAAAACAATAATAACAATGACAACAAAAAAGCTATAAAAGACATTCTTGGGACAACTGGGGAAATTTGAATGTGGCCTGAATATCAGATGACAGTATAGAATTACTGATAATTTTCCTAGGTGTGATAATGGTATTGTGGTTCCTCTTAGGAGATGCAAGCTGAAGTATTTAGGGGTGAGGGATCATGCCTACAACTTTCAAATAATTCAACCAAAACAAAAATAAATACACACAGGGGAGAGGGGAAGCCAGTGCAGCAAAATGTTAACAACTTTTTTGGTGGAGAGGATATGAGTATTCACTGTATTGCCCATTCAGCTTTTCCTTATTTGTGATGATTTTCATAGTAAAGAGTAAGGAGGAACAAAGAGAGTTTTACAAAAGAAATAAGGGAAGTGAGGAGGGAGGAAAAGAAGAAAGGAAGGGGCCACTGCCAATGATTTTTGGTATAAATCATACCCATAAATTTCACACTTAAATTCTTTTAGGCTTCTCTTGGGCCATAATGCCTTTTGCATATTACTAGTTTGCAGACCACTCATTTCTTTTGTTTTGCTTGAGCAAATGGAAGCAGAGTAGGAGAGGCTCTGATATACAGCAGAAAAAGCAATGTGCTGATGTTCAGAGACCTCCACTACTCACTAACTCTGGAAACTTCCCCAAGTCACATAAAGTCTGTAAAATGTAGGGCTTGGACAGGATCAGTAGTTTCCTCCTAGAATATAAAAAATCCTCTGGATGAAGTAGGGGTGAGGGGCTGCAGCCCTGCTTCCTCATCCCCCAGGTACCCGCCCAGCATCTCTAGGGAACCTTTATGGTTCTGGGATTGGCAGCTGAAAATTCACTGGACTAGATGCATTATATGATACTTTTTGACTTAGAAAGCTTATAACCAAATTTTGTCTTTTCTCTAATACAGTTTAATCACATACTATCTCTTCCTAAGAATGGGTATATCCCTTCCTGTGCTTGCTCTGAATGTGCCCAGACTAACCCTTCTTGGTGCCTGTAAATCATCCCACAGTGTCTGCTCATTCTTGGTGTCAGTCTTCCCAGGAGCATGTGTTTCGTTAACTTGACCACGTACCCCCCAGCCCCGCCCTTACCATCTTTTCCATAGACCCTCTCTTTCAGTCTGTGTGGGTTATACTGTGAGGCCACTTTCTTTTTTCTTTTTATAAGTTTTGCATTGATCTTCATTACTGGGATATTTGTGTTGAGTTGGATAGTTTATTTTCAGAAATATCAATTTCTTCTGGTTTTTAAAAACGTTTTAAACAGCTATTCTTTAATGAAAAATCTTGAACATGAAAAATAATGCACGAACACTCATGTACCTACCACCCACCTTTAATACATTTTACTTTATTAAATTTTACTTTATTTGCTTCCAGTAGTTTTCTTTAAAGAAGTTAAATGATATCTTCCATATATATTATTTAGCATTGTACTTTTCACCTTAACATTTTAAAATTTGTGTTGATATATGTAGCTTTCTAAAAAAACTGCACTGTATTCCATACTGCAGATATATGCTACAGTTTAAACAAAATCTGTTTTCTTTTTCATGGACACTTTGGTTTTTTCCATTTTCCCCTTTTACAAGCATGTAATCCTTTTTCCTCTGGCTATGTAAAAATATTTTTATCTTTATTAAACCCCTTGATTTTATGCAGTTCCACTAAAATGTATGTTAGCAGAAAGTTGTATTTATTTATCTTATGCGGTACTTTTAACACACTTCTGATCTTTTGAGAGCTCATGCCTTTTCTCAGTTCTAGAAAACACCTTGCAGTTTTTCCTCTAACATAGCTTCTCTTCAGTTCCCTCCGTTCTCTTCTTCCTTCATTCCAATTTGACACATGTTGAAGCCTCTCAAGCTGCTAACTTCCTCTTTAACAGTTGAAACTATTTTTCTTTCCATGCTATTTTCTAGGTGAATTGAGTTTTCTACCTCCAGGTGAATTGATCAAGATTCTCTTTCAGTTCATGTCTGATGTTTATCTTTCTAATGAGTGCTTTAACAATTTTTCAATGACTTTTTCATTATCAGGACTTCTAATTGGTTGGTTTTCATATTCACAGACTGTTGCTTTGATTCTGTTTTTCTTTCACAATTTCTTCTCCTTTTTTAAAGAATGAGAATCTTAATCATACTTATTTTAAAGTCTTTTTGCATTATTTTATTATTTGAATTTCATCTTGGGCAAATTTCTCTTCAGATTGTTGATTTTGCTGGATCTCTAGCAGCAGTACATTACTTCATCTGCAGGCTCACTCTGCTCGCAGTGAGTTGGAGAGTCTGCACATTTCACTCCAATCAGGTTTATCCCTGCCTTTCTAGTGGTTTTACAGCTGCATCCACTAGGTCCCCAAGGGTCTCTAAACCAGAGCCAGGTGTTAGATCGGCAACAGAGAGTTCCTGTTCTGGGGGGTACTGGCACTAACTGCCAATCCAGTCACTAAGTCATCAGTTGGCTTGGTTTTCTTCCTGATCAGAGGCAGGCTCTCTGTCCTCCTGTCTCTGCAGGTTGGGAGCTTTCTATATGTTATAGCCTCAAGCAGCAGCCATAGCAGCTTCTTCCACTCTTTTTCCTTAGCAGGGAAGCCTTAGCCCAGCATCTCTGGTTTCTAGCCTGGGCACTGCTCCAGTCTCCCATGAGTGGCACACTTTCAGTGTCCATTACCCATGGGAGGCAAACTTCCACACACCTATGCCAGCTTCTGGGACTGGAGTACAGCACACCCAAGGCTGAATCTCTGTGATTCTGTTCCATTTCTGATCTGTGGAGTTATTTATCTTGTTTTTGAGCTTGTGAGTATATTTTCATTGTCTCTTTTAGTATTTATATATCAATGGTTTGTGTGTGGCACAGAGGGAACATCTTAAAGCATGAATTTACATTGTTATCATGATTAGAAGTCATCTATGAGAATGTTAAGCTTTAAAAATTTTTCTTTTTTCTATTAAGTTTTTTAAAATTAATTTTTATTGGAGTATAGTTGATTCACAATGCTGTGTTAGTTTCTGCGGTACAGCAAAGTGAATCAGCCACACATATACATATATCCACTATGTTTTAGATTCTATTCCCATATAGGTCATCACACAGTATTGAATAGAGTTCCCTTTGAGATCAGTTTCCTTAAAGACCAGAGTTCATTCATTTATTCATTCATTCAATAAGCATTTCCTACGTGCCAACTCTGTGCAGAGTACAATATAACAGATGATAATTTCTAAAGATAACTATCAATATATATCACATCATACATGCTCTTTTCACACTGTGACAATGACAACCTTCTATTGAGAGGTGGGGTACCAGGGTGGACTTTCCTACGTCAATCAATAGAGTGGGCCAGAAGAGATGCTGTGTGACTTCCAAAGCTAAGTCATAAAAGCCACCATGTCTTCTGCCAGGCTCTTGCGCTCTCTCTCCCTCACCCCTTCTCAGGAGACTGTATCTTGTTGGAACCTAGCTTCCATATGGTGAGGAAGCCCAGGCCACAAGCAGAAGCCATGTGTAAGTGTTCTGGCCAATGGCCAGCATCAACTAGCAGGCATGTGAGTGAAAGAAGGTTCGGATGATTCCAGTCTTTGAGTCTTCCAGATGAGACCCCAGATATCGTAGAGGAGAAACAAGCCATACTGTGTCCTGTCTCAATTCCTGATGCACAGATACCATGACAGACAATAAATAATTCCTGTTGTTGTAAGCTACTAGATTTGGGGGTAATTTATTATACAGCAATAGATAGCCATTGGGATACAATAGTGAATAAGAGATGTCTGTTCTTTCCCAGGAGAAGACAGAGGTATTGAACAAGCAGTCCAAGCTGTGATGAGTGTCTGAAGAATCATTAGAGATGCTCTGTAAGTATCTAGCAGGGAAATCTAAGCCAGTTTGGCATGGAGGGTAATCTAACTTCTTATTGTGAAATGGTCACTCTCTCCAGCAATTCCTGTTTCCTAGCACAATGCCTGGCCATGGTGGTTGCTCAAAAATATTGCATAACCTATTGTGGCTTCTTAAAATTAGCTTCCTTGTTGCAGTCTTCTTTCTTATTTCCTTTATGTTCTGAGAGATGAAGTTAATAAAAAGGCAGGTCAGGAAATCCTAGAAACCTTCATTCAGCCTTTGCACCAAATGAAAAACTAATAGTTCGTTAATTATAAACTTTCTTTCTCTGTATGTTGCATTGTATAATATGTCTTGCCTCCCAGTGTTGGAGGAGAGTGCTGGTCTAATACTGTTTGGCCTATAAGAGGGAAAATATTGAAATTTTCTTCCTAAAATGCTTTAGAATGGCACGATATGAATATATTGATAGAGATTTTATGCAGATATATACATTATGACCCTCAGGTGGACTGAGACGGTGCTCTCCTAACAGAGTGGCCACCAGGGCTTCCCATGGCATCAATGGAGAACCTCTGTCTGTCCACCAGTGCAATCACAGGGTCTTCACAACAGAATGCAAATGCTCCAGTGTTGTACCTTAGTTAGCACTGCTTGATAAAACATAGGGCTCTCAGTTATACTTGACTTTCAGATAAACAACAAATAATTTTATGGTATGTTTAGTATATTATTCCTTATTTACCTGAAATTCAAGTTTAACTGGGCATCCTGTATTTTTGTTTGCTATCTCTGGCAACTCTAATACTAACAGTAATTAGTCCATACAATATGGAATGATTAAAAAAGAAAACAGAAACTAATAGTATGAGGGCAGGGTGGGGACTAAAATCAGCTGAGGTTTGATAAATGCCCAATTATGGGTATAACTCAGGGAATCCTTTTTCTTCTAGGACTCACTAGTTTCCTTTTTTCTACATCCCAATCATCCAAAAAAATCTGTTTTCATTATGCCCAAGAATTCACATGCAATCAAGTTGATGAGGTAAGTCCTGATTCTTTGCTTTATCCACGTACATGAGTCTTTTGGTTTCTCAAGGAATGAGCAAAACCTTCCATCCTTACCTCACTTTCATTGCAGCAGAACACATCTGAGAGAGTGTAGAACTGGGGGTCTAGGTCAGCAATGGCAGGCGCTGGGTTGAACAGTGTTTTTACTACAAAGGAGTGAAAAAGGGGTTCAGTGGTTATCGTTTTCAACATGGTGCATTTATGGACATTGAGTAAGGGAAATCCCCAAGTACAACCATTTTCCCCATTAGATTAAAAATCAGGGCTTCCCTGGTGGCGCAGTGGTTGAGAGTCCACCTGCTGATGCAGGGGACATGGGTTCGTGCCCCGGTCCGGGAAGATCCCACATGCCGCAGAGCGGCTGGGCCTGTGAGCCATGGCCGCTGAGCCTGAGCGTCTGGAGCCTGTGCTCCGCAACGGGAGAGGCCACAACAGTGAGAGGCCCGTGTACGGCAAAAAAAAACCAAAAAAAACAACTTAGTTACAGATGTAGAAAAGTCTGGATCCTCAATCTCCGTGATAGCCTGGTAGCAACTCCTTGTTATGTCCATTTGCTCTACTTTTTACTTTACAACATTTCAGCTTCAAGGGCAAGCATCAATATTTACAACTAAGGTGATTACAAAGTTATGGCAAAGGACAACAAGAACATTAAAAAAATTTGAATGTTGTGGCATGAAAGGACATGTATAAATGTGAACATGCAGGCTGGTGAACATTTTTGTGGGTTACTGTGAGTGCTTAGATGCAAGGCTAGTTCATAAATCCATTTTCCAGGAAAGTAAAAAAGAGATGATAGAAAGGAAACAATGAAGAGCTTAAAAATTTCCTGGTAAGAATGGTAAGTAGGAAGTTCATGTACATATCCACGTTTTGAACACCTATGTATGTCTTCCAAATATGTTGCACTTACTCATGCAAACATACACATTCACACAAAAGCTTATAGTCTTGGCTTCTGTGGGCAATCTGGGAACGTAAAGGAAAGGTTGATAAAGGAGGAGAAATTTAATCAGAGGCTAAGAGCTAGCTCAGACTACAAGAGGAGGATGGATGGGGACAGCAGAAAGAGGAAAAATAAGAATGTCACGGCCATTGCAGTGTTAGAAGAAGTACATTTTTCAGAGGAGGAAAGTGAACCTCAGAGAGATGAGGTCAGTCTAAGGTCTTAACACTGGGAGATGGTTAAGCTGGGTCCCTACCCAGGGTCCTCCAGCTTGAAGTCCAGGGTTTGGTCGTTTCTAAAGTGGTTGCCTCTCTAGGCCAGGACTGTGTCCATAGCAACACAAGCCCCCATGGCAATTCACAATATTTAAAAACAGCCTTTGTTCTGGAACTTTGTAAATTGTTTTTTTAAGTATTTAGAACTTATATTCATAGGAAGCTCTCCCTATGTCAAAACACTTATCCACCAGAGTACCCAACTAGATTGGTTGGTCTTCTTTCTTCTACCCAGGTCCACTGACTTATGTGTGTTTAGTAACCTTAATTTACTATAGACTCATAGAGTAAAACTCTCTAGCTGCAGTCCCCAGAGACTCTTCTACAACAGTGGTTCACCAACTTGGCTGCATATCAGCCTCACTAGGATAGCTTATTAAGATGCCTGACTTCTGGGCTCCACCTCAAACCCACTGAATCAGAATCTCTGGGGGTAAGGTCAGTGAGCATGCACATTGACAAGTTCTCCACGTGGCTCTTCCATGGCTAGTTTGGTGCTGATGCATTCCACATTCCTAGGGAGATGTGTATCAGCATGTGACTAGTGGAAGCTGTCCACTACTTCTGCCTGGGGAGGCTAGCTAATCTACTGCTGCACCTTCTTTGGTCTTACTTAACATTTTGGTTCAGTCAGTGGGTCTCGTCCAGTGGTTTATAGGCTAACACTATTCCCATATTTTCATTATTTTAGAATCCAGAATGTCCACCCACAGAAATTCTATGGTATATTTTTGGCTGCTCATATTTTTGCACAGGGTTATTGTGAGGCTTAAATTAGAACATGGATGTAAGAGCCCTGTGTAAACTATGAAGTGTTGTACAAAAATAAAGGATTATTACTGTTATTATATTGTCCTTTACCCATAGCCCAACACCCCCGCCTGTCCACCCATCTCTTCTGCCTTCTGATGGAGTTTTTAGCCTGGCAAAAATCTCTCTCATTGGTTTTCCCGCTCCTGCAAGGTCTCAGAGATGTCAATTATGCATAAAAGCCATCATTGCCCAGCATTCTAAGACACCCATTTACTTTTTAGGTTTTCAAAATAAATATGTTGTTCCCTATTTTCCTCAAGCATTAAATTGAAACACCATTGCTCACCTAATCTGATCCTCAAAGCTGCACTCAGCAGCTCTGAGCACAAGTTAGAGCAAGCTATCAGTATGCAACAATAGGGTAGAGCCATTCTTCTTATAAAAGTTCCATTTTATCCTAAAAGATCCTTGATCCAGCAATTCCTTTTCTAACCCTGTCCTACAGACATACACAGGCCTGCAAAGATGAAGTACAGTGATGCTCATTCAGCTCTGCTTGTAACAGAAAAAAAACCAAAAGAAACCTAAGTATCTATCAGAGTTGATAAAAAATTATGACACATACATCCAATGGAATGCCCTGCTGCTGTTAAAAAGAATGAAGCAGATCTCTGTTTTGCCACATAAAGACTTCTATAATTTATTTATAAGTGAAAAAGGCAGTTTTATAATAAAGTCTATGGTAGGATCTCCCTCACTTTGAACAAAACAAATAAAACATAACTATATGTGTATTTACATTTATACACTTACATAGAAAAGTCTGAGAGGTTACTCACTAAACTAATAAGTGCGTAGTTACAAAAGGCTGAGAATAAATCTGACCACAGATTAACTGCTATACATCATGCAAAGACATAATTCTTAAAATATATATAATATCTCACATCAAAAAACGAGTACATGGGCTTCCCTGGTGGCACAGTGGTTAAGAATCTGCCTGCCAATGCAGCGGACACGGGTTCAATCCCTGGTCCGGGAAGATCTCACATGCCACGGAGCAACTAAGCCTGTGTGCCACAACTACTGAAGCTCGCATGCTTAGAGCCTGTGCTCCGCAACAAGAGAAGCCACCGCAATGTGAAGCCTGTGCACCGCAACAAAGAGTAGCCCCCGTTCGCTGCAACTAGAGAAAGCCGGCGTGCGGCAACAAAGACCCAACGCAGCCAAAAATTAATAAATAAATTCATTAATTAAAAAAAAAGAATTGCTAGTGTATAGATACATAACAGATTAAAAAAAAGAAAAAATGAGTACACTGTGAGTGAAATGTTGTAATGGAAAAAATGAGTACACTGTGAGTGAAATGATGTAATGTCTGGGTTTTGCTTCAAAATAATCCAAGGTTGCAATGGGGGATGGGAGTAATAAGTTGGGGTATAGATGAAACAAGATTGGCCAAGTGTTGATAATTGTTGAAGCTAAATGAGAGTATATATGAGTTTACCATACTTGAAATTTTTCACAATAAAAACAAATTAAAAAAAATTTTATTTATTTATTTTTGGCTGTGCTGGGTCTTAGTTGCTGCACATGGATTTTCTCTAGTTGTGGCAAGCAGGGGCTACTCCTCATTGTGGTGCACAGGCTTCTCATTGCAGTGGCTTCTCTTGTTGAGGAGCATGGGCTCTTGGTGCGTGGGCTTCAGTAGTTGTGGCTCGCTGGCTCTAGAGCGCAGGCTCAGTAGTTGTGGCACATGGGCTTAGTTGCTCCATAGCATGTGGGATCTTCCCGGACCAGGGCTCGAACCCGTATCCCCTGCATTGGCAGGAGGATTCTTAACCACTGCATCACCAGGGAAGTCCCAAAAACAAATTTTAAAGAAACAGTGACATTGAATTTTAAGCAACAACTGCTGGATTGAGAAATTCTACAATTTAATTTGACTGTAAATACTGTATAAAAATCAAGCAAATCTTATTTGCCTGTATCTTACCACGGGAAAGCATTCTTACCAAAAGAAACTGGATACATAGGCTTAGAGTCTAATAACTAAATTTAGGGGAAAAGTGAAAATACCATAAAGAAAGGAGTCTCTTTGGCTCATGCTACCATAAATAAGCATGAATACTTTACCATGATGAAAAAAAAGTGAAGAACTAGTAGATGTAGTTCATCAAAGAAGAATGCAAATTTGTAATAGTCAAGATGAAAAAAAAAACTGATGTCATCCTGGAACCATGCAAAACTAGAGAACACAGGATGTACCATGGAGTAACTTGGAGTTGCAGAGGTGACTGACAGCACCCAACAGTAATTATTATTCATTACAATGTATGACGGACTAAACTCCCAGTTGTCTTAACAGCATGTCAATAGCTGGTGCAATAATGTCAGTCAGGAACTGGTGAGGCCCAGGGAGGCAATTGTACAGGCGCAAAGACAGGAAAATGAGGTGGAAGCTCTTAATGATGTCCACCATGATGCTGGACAGTTAAGAAGGCCCTAATAACGAGCTCAGAGAAACAGGGGAAGAAAATCACCCTAAGTAAAGAAACCATAGGAAGGTTGGGCTACCCAAAACACTGGCTTGGTAGTCTCCCACTCTAGAGGTTCTTCTCTGTGACTTGACCATCAAAAACACCCAAAGCTTGGGCTATGTGCTGGACCATGTTATTGTGAAAGTCAAGGTGGCCAGCCAAGAAATTCTGTTTGCCAAATGGAAAAGGACTAAAGTGTCATTAAAAGATATTTTGTATCCTACCTAGGGTTTAATCTTGGCGATCTTACAATCTCAATTATTTATAATTGTTCCTGTAATGTCCCATTTGCTTTGAAATGGATATAAAGACCAGAACCAACAGGCATAATTTCATCACAAGCAGCTGTACCACCAGCTCTGCCGTGGGCCTACCTCACACCACTGTGACCTAGAGAGGAGGGGGCTGTAGAGGGCTCCCAAGTCATTTTTGGTGTTGCAGGTGCTGTTTAAAACCAATGCTTTCATTTTGGTAAAGAGAGCGATTTCTGAGAAAGTATATTCAAAGATGAAGGCGGGGGGTCTTTTCCTCTGTATTTTAACAACTGATACATAATCCAGTTATACAATGTGTTTAATTCAAACGTCACTGCTTGTAAGTACACAGATAAGTATATAGATAAGGGAGTTGTGATAATAAACCCATAGATGATGATGAGACATGGATTTTACCATCTTCCTTGTAGATGGAATAATGCTGATTAGCACATATGCAGCCTTGTGGGGTAATGGACAGGACACTCAGCACTCAACAGGTCTTTATGCTCTGCCGGGCCTGCTCTGTGATCAGCCCATTCTCACATTGTGACACTGAGGAACTGTGAGGGCTCTCAGTCCAATTCCCTTGTTTCACAGAATAAAATGAGGCTCAGTGCAAGGAACTGACTTACTTGCATGAGGACCCCTATTTGGTAAGTGATTGATCCTGAATTCAAAGCCGTACTTCATGACTCCCAAATCAGTGCTCCTTTCATTATACCACTCTTCTCTCAGGTGAGAATGAAGATGCATTAAATTCAAACACACACACACACACACACACCCCACTCATAGTATAAAATCTAAGCTGTGTCTGACTGGTAACTACCAAATGGGGACCAGTTGAGTTCTAGACACAGGCTCCTGTGTGCATGGGCATTTGCAGATGGGGACACATTGCTGAGAACACTCTAGGGTCTTGTCTCTGTGACTGGAGCAGTAATAACACTCAAAGCTTAGGCTACATGTTGGGCATTGTTACAATTCATGGATTTCACTTTTCTAGAGATACTCTTCATAAAGGCTCAGTTCCTTGATATCAATGGGATGTGGCAGTTTCTTTACTTAAAATGTGCTCTAGGATACAGAACTTGGGTCTTGGAGTCTGGAATCCTGGTTTCTACAGTGACCTTGGTTGAGCTAATTACTTAACCTCTCCGAGTCTGTCTGCTCCCCTTCAATCTGGGAGAAGAATGCCTGCCATATTTTTGTCATAAGGTTTTTCTGAGGATCAAATATATATGAAAGTGCTTTATAAACTGTAAAGTACATATAAGTGCAGGAATTACTACTTCCAATATTACTATATAAGAAAGATCATGCAGAATCACTACTTAGGCATGCTGGCTCTCAGTAACAATGTGAAGTAGGCTAGGTGATCTTTGGCCCTCCATCACCTACCCCCACCCATTCCTGATGCCCCAGATCCTCCAGCTCCTCGACTAGAAGAACTGCCTGGCAGGTGATGGAGGAGGCATTGCTGGACACGCCCCCACACACAAATGACAGCCCGAGTCAGGCTGCCTGTCCCTCCGGGTAACTCTAGCCTCACCTGTGAGAGGTTAGCTCCTCAACTGTGGTTCCTGTACCTTTCTCTCTGCCACAAGATGGGTAGGTGACAGGCCATTAGACTAGGACAGAGGGAACAGTCATCTCTGAGAAGCAAGGGACAGTAGGAAAAAAAGAAGTTCCATGAGAATATACTTTGACCTGTACAAGGAAAGACAGGAGTATGAATGAAGTGGCACGGTGTACTCACATCACCTGATTACGATGAGTGCAGTCATTGCAGAGAATGCTCACCATAAGCCTTAGACTTTATCTGTGACACCCTGAGAAAATGTAACCAAATGGGTTTTGGCTTAAAATTCTTTCTGACAGCTTCGAGTCCATTAAAAATACATTAAATGTCAGTGAGAATTTGCCACAGCATGTTGTTTTGCCAAGAGGAAATTTGTTAAATCAGGACATACATTTTAAAATTCTCCACAAAATCATTTCAGTAACTTATTTTCCATTTATTGCTATGTAGAACACTATACACTTTGAGAGAATCACTTATATAAACACAGATACATACACACACTTACTGTTCTTTTTCTTCTTCTTTTTTTTGGTTTTGTATCTTGATGAGAAAGTTTTATCTGGAAAAGTCAATGTGGTTCTCTCCCTATTTCCTTCTTAGTATAATTCACAGAACTATGGCCACAATATCAAGGAGAAGCCACTGTCTTAGAGTGGCTACTTTTTATTTTGATTTTTTTGACCAAAGAGTGCTGAGATCAGGATATTATCCTAATTTTAATTTAAAGAGAGACGTGAAAGAGAAAAGAAAATTGGTGTTTACTGAGAAGTACTACACCATTTTTGGCATCATATTTTATTTCATTCTTAGACCAATTCTGTAGGGGAGTATTTCTGTATGCATTTAACAGACAAGGCTCAGAAAAATCAGATAATTCTGCTAAGACCACAAAGCTAACAAGGAACAGAAATGGGATTCTAACTCAGAAGACACTTTCCCCACTAGTTGGTGGTAAAAAAGAAGCAAACAGAAGGAAACTATCTGGAGTTTTAAAAAGTTGGTTATGTGCTGGGGTTGAGAGAAGGGGAGTGGGTGGGAGAACAGATGAATCAAGATTAGCCACGAGTCGATGACTGTTGAAGCTGGGTGATGGGTTTCCTTATACAATTCTGCCTGCTTTTGTGTGTGAAAATTTCCAAAGTCAAAGATCAAACAAAACAAAAAGCTGCTTAAAGGACACTGACAACAAAGAAAATATTACATATAAATAATCTTTTGTTGTTTATAGAAAAGACAATAAAGTTTTACAAAAAGGAGAAAGAACAAATCTTCAGTTCCTTGAGATATTTACCCAAATGTACCTGGGCAGTGATTATACATGACCTGCAGCTTAACCTCTGCTTGTCAGAATGGAACTCATTCTACTACTTAGAGTGTATCTTGGACAATGGGCTGCTTCAAAGATTCTAGTTACTACCTGAATTATTTCTGCTAACTAGATTGGAGATTTGTATTTCAAAATATCAGAAATGCTACTCATGTTATTTTTTCACTATTTTTAAGGTTTTTTAACATTATCGAGAACTACAGGAAGACAGTGAATCTCACAGATGGGAGAAAGAATATTTTACTGCAGAAAAAGTATGGCTTTGCTTAACTTGAAAGGTTAACTTTCACTGAGACAGTGATAAAAGCTTTTACAGAAAGAAGGACAAATGTGTAGAATTACCTCCACTGCTGTGGGCTATTCTCAGGGCTTCCAAAGAAGCTGCTGGAGTTACTTCTAGCTGGCAGATCATTACTTTGGCTCTGCTAATGGCACTGGCTGCTTCCCTCAGGTCTTCAGTATTTAAAAGTAAATTTGCTCCAGCCACTATAACGATGATATTCTGGCCTATAAAGAATTTCTACATGTTTATATTAAAAATCAAGCAAAACCAAGCAACGACATCCTGCAATGTTACAATCACCCTTAGAAAGTCATTATATATAAAATGTGTTGTAAGTATTAATTCTAGCATTTCTAAGCCATTCAGGTTAAATTTCGTATTCCTAATGGATCTTCCTTTACATCTCTGTAGGTATCACATTATTCTGATCATCTTGAGAAAAAATCTAAAACAAAAGATTTCCTTTATCAATATTCTCATATATTTACAAAGAATATTAGCTGATGAATTATATATAACATACTTAAAAATTTTCTCTTATGGGACATGGCTGGTACAATATCTGTGGTAAAGATTCTGAATCCTAAATGACAGAGGTCATAATGATGAGTATAAATAGGAATCAGCTTGCTTAATGCTAAAAACTCATGCTCTTTAACACGCAGTCAGTTCATGTGTGTACCCCAGGGTATTCAGAAAAGTGATTTTGTAAATCAAAACACATTTTATGATATCAAACGTGAAAAACTATATGAGATAACTTAAGGCAGGGAGAGAGTGATATTTGGCCTATACTGTACTAGATCAAACAGAAGCAGGACTAAGGAATCTTGTATGCTTATCACTTGGACACTCTCTACAATCCTACGCAAGTGAGGGAGGCGTGGTGGTGCATTTTCTCTGTCAGGTGAACTCTCAGGAGCTGTGCTGTCCAATACGGTAGTCATGAGCACAAGCCACATGTGGTGACCGAGCACTTGAAATGTGGCTTGTCTAGACTGCAATGTACTTCAATCGTACAATACATGGCAGATTTCAAAGACTAAGTTGTAAGAAAAGAAGGTAAAATATCTCATTAATTTTATTTATTTAAATTTATTAATTAAGTTATTTTTGGTTGCATTGGGTCTTCGTTGCTGCGCGTGGGCTTTCTCTAGTTGCGGCGAGTGGGGGCTACTCTTTGTTGCGGTGTGTGGGCTTCTCATTGCAGTGGCTTCTCTTGCTGTGGAGCACGGGCTCTAGGTGCGCGGGCTTCAGTAGTTGTGGCGCGCAGGCTTTAGTAGTTGTGGCGCGCGGGCTCTAGAGCGCAGGCTCAGTAGTTGTAGCGCACAAGCTTAGTTGCTCTGTGGCATGTGGGATCTTCCTGGACCAGGGCTTGAACCCGTGTCCCCTACATTGGTGGGCGGATTCTTAAGCACTGCACCACCAGGGAAGTCCCTCATTAATTTTAAAGAACATTTTGATTACACGTTGAAAGGACAATATTTTGGATATATTGAGTTAAGTGAATATATTAAGATTAATTTTACCAGTTCCTTTTTACTTTTTAAAATGTGGCTAATGGAAAATGTAAAATTATGGACGTGGCTTGCATTATATTCTATAGGACAGCCTGACCTAGGGGGATGAGTTGCATCAGTCTTTTCTGTGCTCTAGGCTGCTTGTGCTGATCTTGTATAGACGTGACCTAAAATTACCTCTGACCGCAGAACACATGCTGGCCTATCATCTTACCACAGATGTGTCTGTTGGCCAAGGAGGGCTTAATAAAGTGGGGATGGTTCAGCATAAACCCTATCTCAGTACTGGAAAAATTCAAAGTACCCGCACACTGAAAGACAGCATACCTCCTCGCCTTTCTCCTTCAGTGACCTCATTCTCTCTGCTACAGTCAACTGCTGCTCTGTGTTGCTGACTCCTGAATAGACATTTCTGGCCTGGCCTTGGCTGATGAGTGACAAAGCCCAAGACGAAAGCTGTCTGGTGGACACTGCCATATGGCGAGCTTGTTCATGCCTCAAATTAAACTTGTCAAAACTGCTACTCATCCCTTCATTTAAAGATGCTGATTGTTGCCTCTCTGGGTATTTGTGTTAGCTCTTCTACTACAACCTATACTCTCGAGGGCATTACCATACACTATAAACCAGACAGAGTCTACCATAACAGGCACCCCATACACAATATTAAATATCTTTGCACGGAAAATGCAGTATTTTGTTACACAGATAAGAAAGAAACAGAACTCGATATCCCTAGAACACAAAAAAGAGGTTTAAGACAGGGAATGAGCTGCTGTTAGCAGCAATAATTACTTAAATGTAGCTTAAAATAATGGACACAGACTGTTGTTAGAATGAAATCTTTTGTCTACTGTCTTTAAGTGGAATATATTTTTTGGGGGGTTGTTATTGCAACTTTGAGATCACTAAAGTAGAACTAAAAATACCATAACTTCATGATAAATGATTTTGTGAAACTGCATTATAAATAAAAGACATATTGTGAGAAATCCTAATTTAAAACAACGCACTCGTGACTTCTCACAATGCAGTAGGTTCTTCTGTCCTAGGTGCTCCATGAAATGCTTGGTCCTTCTGAATGTTAATTCTAATTTTAAAAAATCTTATGTAGGGCTTCCCTGGTGGTGCAGTGGTTGGGAGTCTGCCTGCTGATGCAGGGGACACGGGTTCGTGCCCCGGTCCGGGAGGATCCCGCGTGCCGCGGAGCAGCTGGGCCCGTGAGTCATGGCCACTGAACCTGCGCGTCTGGAGCCTGTGCTCCGTGGCAGGAGAGGCCACAGCAGTGAGAGGCCTGCGTACCGCAAAAAAAGAAAAAGAAAAAGAAAAAAAATCTTATGTAGGTGTTTTTATACTTAAAATAGTTGGCAGCAATTATGAAAAGTTTACTTGAGGGTAAAGGGAAGTTACTGTTTTTTTTCCCCCCATAAATTTATTTATTATTGGCTGTGTTGGCTCTTGTTGCTGTGCGTGGGGGTTTCTCTAGTTGCAGTGAGTGGGGGCTACTCTTCGTTGTGGTGCACGGGCTTCTCATCGTGGTGGCTTCTCTTGTTGCAGAGCATGGGCTCTAGGTGCGTGGGATTCAGTAGTTGTGGCATGTGGGCTCAGCAGTTGTGGCGCACGGGCTTAGTTGCTCAGTGGCATGTGGGATCTTCCCGGACCAGGGAACGAACCTGTGTCCCCTGCATTGGCAGGTGGATTCTTAACCACTGTGCCACCAGTGAAGTCCTGGAAGTTACTGTTTTTAAAAGACAAATGTTTCACCTATTGCAAGGCCTCGTGACAGGCATAGCTGTGTATATAGACTTTTGAGATTTGGTTGCTGTTTAAAGAGCAGACAAAATTGAACACTAACAATAAGTTAGAAGTAATTGGTTGCTGCCATTTGCTCAGTAAATATTCTATAGATATGATTCATCAACGTTCTTTTGCACCTATCTATTTACATTTATTTACTTAGTGTAACTGAAATGACAGATGAATACTTAACTACTTTAGAGAGAAATATCAATTCTGGGTTCACATGAAGGGTAATGGGATGCTACAGAGTATAAGTATAATTTTGAGGCAACTATACCACTTCATATGTATTGGATGGACAATTCTGTATTTGAATGATCAACTAGGGAAGTATAAGTAAAGGGCAACATATATATTCAGATTGGAAAGACCATACATTAAAACTTGGAGTGGTGGTTATGGTAAGAGAGCCATAGGAATAGGGTAAAAATTGATGCTTCTGCTCTAGTTCTGGAAATGATACTCCAATATGTGAAACACATACCTTCATTACTGACAATTATAGAAGCAGTTCCTGTCGCAGCATCTTTAGTCTGATATGTAAATTCTAAAAGAAAAAGGAAATCACAGTCACGTATGTACAGCCTGGCAAGGATAATCTATTTTAACAATTTCAATGCACCACTAATCCTTGGAAAAACTTTTTAACCTTTAACCATCTGGAATGATAAAAAAGAAGTAAGTAATTAGTGCTAATTTATACCCATCACCTATACAATGAGGAAAATACAAGTCTTCACACTTAGCTGCGCCTTTTTTCTACATTAGTGGCAACCCAGCAAACCACCCCCGCTTCCAATGCCTTCAGATTATTCACAGTTGTACACATATGCATTTTTCTAGACCACCATATTTCTTTTCTTCAGTGAAAGAAATGACAGACTTGAGATGAAAGACTAAAGGTCAAACTTATAAAATGAGATTGTTTGATTTTCTTCATTTTCATAAGCTTCGCATCTCATCAAGAACTATGGTCTGGCGTGTAAATGGAAATGTTGATCAGGCAGCCTTTGGCAGCAGCGAAGAGCCTTGAACTGGAGCCAAAGACCTGCACTCCAGTCCTGGCTCTGGCTCCAGCTAACTGTGTGCTCTTGGACAAATTCAGAACCAATCTGGCTTTCAGTTTTCTCTTTTGTGAAATGATGGTATCAGCATCAGTGGTTTCTAAGATCATTTCCAGCTATGACATTCAATGACTTTTCTTAAGATATCTTTTGTGAATGCAGCACCTGTTTTCTCTTGTCACCTTCTTTTTTTTTTTTTTTTGCGGTACGCAGGCCTTTCACTGTTGGGGCCTCTCCCGTTGCGGAGCACAGGCTCCGGACGTGCAGGCTCAGCGGCCATGGCTCACGGGCCTAGCCGCTCCGCGGCATGTGGGATCTTCCCGGACCGGGGCATGAACCCATGTCCCCTGCATCGGCAGGCAGACTGTCAACCACTGTGCCACCAGGGAAGCCCAACTTTTGAAACATTTCTATGAGATGAATGCTTGTAACCTCCTATCATTTTATTCCTGTCTGGAGAAACGTACATGAAAGAATTAACCAAAGGATATTTAAGCAAGACTAGACAAAGCTGTGCATAAAAATTCTCTGGCCACCAGGGGAGGATCTAATAATTCTATTGTAATTTCAACTTGTAACCAGATTCCAGAAGAAAGTTATAAAAACTAACTTTAAGAAAGATGAAATTTTACCTGTAGAAATATCATTCTGTTTCAAGTTTTCTATATAATCATTGCCAAAGGAATCTTTGCCAACCTGTACCAAAGAAATGATGAACATTAGATTTTTTACATTTAGTAAAATGCTACAATGTAGTTTTTAGAATACTTAGCATTTTAAAAGGGCATATCTGCATGGTACTTTGTAAACATTAACTAATTAATCCTCTTAATGTAAGATGCTATACTTGATTTCAGCCCAAATAATTGTTATATATTAATGTTCCATTTGTATCCTGCCTAAAACGTGAAACATTTAATGACTGTCACAAGTATCCTGCCTAAAACGTGAAACATTTAATGACTGTCACAAGTTCTGTAGCTTCACTCTCATTTTGATCTTTTCATATGGAAATTGCCATTGAGACAGAGCTGTCCACCATCAACAATCTTCAGTATTTATGAAGAATGTCAGCTGTTCATACTTCAGTATAAATGAAGGCATCTTTGTAATGACCTGCCTGGTGTTTTAGAATCTTCTTATCTTCTCCACTGACCCTGACATGGGGCAAAGAGGAGGGAATTTAAAAAGTCCTTGCTAACTTGGGTAAGTTGGTGTAGTGGAATTCTGTTGTTTTGCATCTTAGCATCCATTCTGGTAATGATATTTCGATTTTTCCTTTGGACTCTTCCATTCACAGACAACATGATTAGGGTCTCACATTTTTTTACAATCAATGAATCTATATTGACACATCATTATCACACAAACTCCATACTTACATCTGGGTCCATTCTGGGATTGTACATTCTTTGGGTTTTGGCAAACGTATAGACATGTATCCACCATTATAGTCTCATACAGAGTAGCTTCACTGCCCTAAAAATCCTCCGTGCTCTGCCTATTCATCCCTCCCTCCTCTTAGCCCCTAGAAACTTCTGATCTTTTCACTGTCTCCATAGTTTTGTCTTTTCCAGAATGCCATATAATTGGAATCATACACCATGTAGCCTTTTCAGAATGGCTTCTTTCACTTAGTAATATGCATCTGAGGTTCCTTCATGTCTTTTTGTGGCCTGATTACTCATTTCTTTTTAGTGCTGAATGATATTCCATGGCATGGATATACCATTTATTTCCCCATTCACCCACTGAAGGACATCTTGGTTGCTTCCAAGTTTTGGCGATTGTGAATTAAGCTGCTGTAAACATCCATGTGCAGGTTTTTGTGTGGATCTCCTCCTATTTTTACTTTTAACCAGCTTGTCACCATTTAAATATCAGGAGACTCCACAAAAACAAACACGTTTCTGGGAAGTCCTGAAAATTTAGAGGTCCTGGTAAACACCAGGCCTACATTCTTGCAAGACAACAGAGCTGAACCTATCTCATTAGTGAGCACATGCTCTCTAGTTCACCATAGCCCCCACCTGGCCTACTGCAATGTATGTTCCCTGTTTGGCCCCATAGGCTTTTAGGCTTGCCACACCTGAACTATACTTCTATTTTTCTGTCCTGCAGATGAGCGCTTGGTCAGTGGATAACGTCTCTATCTAGGTGTCAGCACTCCTGGTATATTCTGCTCCTCTTTGGACATATCAACAGAAAGAAACCTAGAGGTTAACTTGATCAAGAACCTCAATGAGTGATGATAACATTTCCTGGTAAGCTTTTAGACTGTCTAGGTTAAGAGTCAGAAAATTTTTTCTGTCAAGGGCCAGATAGGTAGTAATGATTTAGACATTGCAGGCCAGATGGTCTCTCCTGCACCTATTCAGCTCTGCTATTGTAATGTGAAAACAGCCAAAGACAATCTGTAAACAAATGGGTATGGCTGTGTTCCAATAAAACTTTACTTGCAAAAGTACATGGTGACCAAGATTTGCCCCATGGGACACAGTTTGCTGACCTCTGACTTAAATGCCACCTCTGACGCCTTCTTCCTCAAGGAACACTTTTCCCTGTGCTCCTTTTCTGGTGGAAATGCTGATTAGGCAATAATCTCAAATAATATATAAGTTGTTATTAGCAGAATTTCTGTCTCTACAGTGAAGTACAGAGGGTTGCTGTGGGGAGAGTCCCCTGGTAGAAGGAGGTCATCGACTAAAGGTTTCCTTTATGGAAGGCTGGCCATTTTCTACCAGGTAAGAGCCAAGGCATCCTGTTTCTTAGGTCAAAGACTCACACCAGAAAACAAAATCTTTGTTATCTCATCTTTAAAAAAAAAAAATTCATTTACATTATTTAACTCTCTCCCATGGGTAATCAAAAGTGTTGTATAGTTGGGAAAGTATCATTATAAGAATGCTGTAGGAATTAAGAAAGGCCATCCCTAGGCACGTGGAGCCTGATACAAATTAGAGCAAAGGAACTTCTCTACCCTTCTGTATCAGTTTTATACAGGCAAAATCTGTTTAAGGTGAATACCAAGGGCAGGCTTGATAGATGGTGCTGATATTACAAATATTAGGAAGTGCCAGGGTTCGGAAGAATTGTTGGAGGGGAGGAAGAAACCAAAACATGGAGTTTTGCCCTCGAGAAACTGATGATATTGGAGGGAAAATAAGACATGGAGACACAGCTATAACACCGGGTGGAATATCGTGTGCATCGGAGGCCTAATTAGGAAGGGATTTCATGCTCAGGCTGTGGAAGCTTTTGCAGGCTTGCTGCAGCTGTATTTTAGAGGCTGCAGTAGCTGCCTGTCTTCTTCCTGCCCAGAGAATTACCTGATTGGCTACATCCCTCAGTGATTGTTATGGTTCCAGATTTATTCTAATAGTGATTTCCTGGCAAATCTGTTGGCTGGCCTTCTAAGTTCTACATGAGAAGTGGAATAAAATCCTTTGTTTTTGCCTTCTTTGGTATTCTCTTGTCAAAAATAAATGGAAAAATAGCAACACTGTTGAGGATTAGAAGAAGTTGACTCTAGCTCCATTAACTTCGCATGGAGGTTGTAGTGATACATTACAAAGTAAAAGTAGTGAAAAAAGCCTAAGAATAGGAAGACAATATTTTCATTTGTGTCATGGAAGTCAGAAGTCCCTTCACATTAGCTGTGTGATCTGGGGCAAGCCACTTTAACCGTCTACAGCCTTCAGTTTCCTTATCTGGAAAGACCCAGCCAGTTTGCTGCGAGGGTAAAATAAAATAATATGCATGAAAGGACATTTAAAACTTTAAAGGATTAAGTAATATGACTTGGTGTTATCATCATCATCATCATCATCATCATGGCTGTACTGCTGCTACTGTGGCTGCTTCTCTTGGGGTAGGGACAGGGCTTCTGCTGCTTGGAGTCAATCTTATAAACTACTTTCCTGCCCATCTAGTTCTCCCAGACACTTCTAATTCTTCCTGTTGCTGCCTATCTTCAACAGAAAAGCAACTGATCATGGAAGCAAGCAGGTGGGTGCATTATTTTAAAAATGAGACTGTATTACTATTATTATTTTAGTAAAAACATAACAGCTCCATTAATGGTTTGGTGTAAATAATGCTGTTTAATATAACCACGTATCTTGAGAATTCCCTGGTGGTACAGTGGTTAGGACTCCACGCTTTCACTGCCGAGGGTGTGGGTTTGATCCCTGGTTGGGGAACTAAGATCCCACAAGTAATAGCTGTTCATTTTTAAAATAATGCACCCAC